AATGTTATGGTTTGTTGAAAACCAACTTATTGCATATGTCACTTTACCTACACCAATGTCAAGGACTTCATACATACACCGTGTACATTCACTTCATATGCTGCTTTGCCACTCACTACAAATATCAATGTCAGGACCTTCATTTCATTTTATTTTATAGATATACTTTTTTAAATATTTTTATACCGTATAGTACAATTTAAGACAGTATCATGCTTTTATTATTGCATTTTATGCTTATGTTTAATAAATGTTTTAATGTTAAATGGTTATTGTTGCACCGGGGTCTGAGAGAAATGTAATTTCAATCCTGTGTATGTCCTGTACATATTGCAGCTTTTGACAATAAAGTGACTTTGACTTGACTTTGAAAACACAGCAGCCAGCAGAATTCTCTTGTTTAGTTATTGCATATTAATGGTTTAAGAATTTGCAGCTTAAATAATAATTGCATTATCATCTCTCTAAACAAGTACTTTACAAGTATGTCCTTATTGTAATGTGGTACAAAACTAATCAAGTTGGTTTAAGATTTCAATGATCCCTTTATGTCTAAAAGCCTTTTAATATGAGGTGCATAGCCTACTCTAACTTAACATCAGAGAGAACTCTGCACATTTTTCTTTTCCAGTTAGTTTTTATACTATAACAGCACAAACATTCAGAATTAGCCAACATTTCCAGTAAAAGCACACATAATACTTGCATGGTATGTTATTACCTTTCCAATTTACTCCCTTTGCCTTCACTGGGCGCTAATGGAGGTAGGAGTGTGTACTTCATGCACCCAGGTTAGAACCTACATGTGATATATCAAGTATATCGACTCAGAGTGGCTTTCACTGAAGCTAGCTGGTATGTTTAGCATCAAGAGTTCAGTTTATGCAATCAGCTTTTATTAAAAGGTCATTATCTTTAGTTTCAACTATAGCAATACTTAATGAAGTAGTTAATTTTCTGCAGCAATGTGCTTTCATGCATTGTTTTTGTTATTAAGGCCAGGAAGCTCATTAAAGTAGTTCTGTGCATGTCATATTAACTAGAAAAGTTGCTGACCATAAACAAGTTTTAAGCACAAATCACTCAGTTATTGTTTGTGTTTACCTAATCAGATGAGATCTTTAGAAGATATTTATATATTGGAAATATATATATTGGATATATTGGATATTTGGAATTGATGAAGACAGAATTTGATAAAATACAAACTTGGTTTAAACTTAATAAATTATCATTAAATTTAGAAAAAACTAAATACATGATATTTAGCAACAAAAAGAGAACTGTTGATGATCCATTTAAAATTGAGGGTGTTGAGATTTGTAGAGTTAATGAGATGAAATTTTTGGGTGTAATCATTGATGAACAGCTAACATGGAAAAATCGCATAAATTCTGTAAGAACAAAAATATCTAAATCTATTGCAGTACTATACAAAGTCAGGGAATTATTAAATGATAAAGCTCTGTACATGTTGTATAACACAATCATTGTTCCACATTTAGTCTATTGCATTGATGTTTGGGGGAAAGCGTGTAAAACATTTACAAAACCTATTTTTATTTTACAGAAAAGAGCTGTAAGAATTATCACCAGAAAGCATTACAGTCACCCATCAAGCACATTATTTTATCAACTGAAGTTACTCAAGTTCCATGATTTAGTAGATTACAGTATTTTATCAGTTATGTATAGGGCTCAAAATCACACATTACCATTAAATATCCAAAGGAATTTTGTTAAAAGACAAAGTTGTTATAATCTTAAGGGGATAGAGATATTTGTCAAACCAAAATTCAGAACTAGTCTGAAGGGAAGGTCTACCTCAATCCAAGGAGTTGGATTGTGGAATGGTCTAGAGAGTGATGTAAAAAATGTCAAGTCAATGTGCACATTTAAGAAAAAAATCAAAACTGAATTGTTAAAAAAGTATATATGAAGTAGCTTAGTGTGTGTTTTGTATTAGAATTAGATAAATTAGAAAGTTATTCATTTTGTACTGTCACTTGAAAATTATTATGTCTGAAATAATTGTTTGTAAAAAGGGGCAGATATAATAAGATTTTTTCTTCTTTCTGCTGCCTTTCATTTTAAATCTTTTGTATCTTTTTTATATTGTTATGGAATTGTTTTGTACTTTTTTAAAATGAATAAACTATATACCATACCATACCATACCATATATATACAGTAGTCCCTCGCTACTTCCCGGTTCATTTATCACGGACTCATTCTATTGTGGTTTTGCAAAATAAGATTGGACATAACACACAACCGGCTGATTGATGGATGAGCCACACAATCGGCATTTTTTATTTAAAATAAATTATGTTAAAATTATTTAGCACCTGCTGCACATTTGTGCAACCCTTACTGCAGGATAAGCTTCCAGCTGTAGCTGGATCAGCTGTTCTCTGTGCAGAGCAGAGAAGTGGGCGTGGCCAAGAGCACTTGCAGGTGGCTGAAAGCAGCAGAGGCAGGGAGCAGAAATCATGACTTTCTGTGCTCTTTTAGAGCGTTCAGAGTTTAGAAACATTGTTTAGAATATTGCAAGAGTGGGGGAAGGGTTTAAAAGGCCTTAATATATAAATATGAAAATAAACTACTACTTATTATTCCTACTTCAGGGTTTTTCACTTATCGCGGAGCTTCAGGGTATGGATCCCCCGCGATAAAAGAGGAACCACTGTACTCTCTCTCTCTCTCTCTCTCTCTCTCTCTCTCTCTCTCTCTCTCTCTCTCTCTCTCTCTCTCTCTCTCTCTCTCTTTCTCTCTCTCTCTCTCTCTCACTCTCTCTCTATACATACATACATATATATATATATATATATATATGTGTGTATATATATA